AAAAAAAAAAGAATAAAAAATAAACCCTTTAGCCATGAACTTAACAAGTTGGGCAGTCAAGGAACCTGAGAAAACATTACATACATATAGCCAATCATAGTCTTTGATGTCTGGATACCTGTCAATACCTAGCATACCTAATGATACATACCCAATATGTACAATATTATATTTTAGCATGATCATATTATAAAATTAATTTGGCAAGATATAATCACTGATAAATGAAAGATAAAAGGATAGATGTAAAAGCAACATAAGCATATAAAATGAGATATCAGTACTAGTGTCAGTATCTGAGATCTTAAGAAACAGAGAATTGTAAGTTGTAACCATGTTTCCCTTATCTATTCATGTATATATCCATGATTGGGCATCATAGGCCATAGCCTCTCCAATGACCCTTGCTAGACCTGTTCATGGGCCGGGTGGCCCGACGGGCCGGCCCAACCCACGGACAGGCTTGAACATGCTTATAGGCCCGCGGGCTTAAATTCGGGCCAAAAAGCCCGGCCCACAATAAATTCGAGTCGGGCTCGGTTTTGTCAAAATAGCCTGGCTCGGCCCGACCTAATATTAAACTTAAAATTAGTTATGTGATTATGTCCATTTGAATAAATTTTTTGATTTAAAAATGTAAAATTGTGTTTTAAAATATAAAAGAAAGGGAAAAATACCATCTTATAGGCCCATTGTTCATTTAAATAGAAAAAAAATACTATCTGAATTTTTAATTCTAATTTGAGTAGGGAAAATTGTTTTTTATTTCAATTAGGTCGGGCTTCGGGCTCGGGCTCGAGTTTCGGGCTTTTTACCAAGGCCGGGCTCGGGCCCAAGTTATAGGCCCGTTGGTTGGGCGGGCTCGGGCTCGGGCCTAGTATATTTTCATTAGTGACAAGTGAAAGCCCGGCCCATGAACAGGTTTAACCCTTGCCAACTAGAACCAATGCCCATCAACCCCTAATAACCTGGTTTGAATTGTGCTCCACCTCAATGCTAGCCAAACTGAGATTATTGGTTGATCTCAAGCCTTGAGAAAAAAGTTGCCTTCAGCTCTCCACAAAATTCCTATCCCACAGACCTAGAGATAACAAGTATGACAAAGCCATTGCAACATAATTTGGGTTAATCCAAAGAGAATCCATCAAAGTTAAGCTTCTGCACTTCACCCCATTCTGAACAATCCAGTGTAGGTGGACGGACCATTCCCCCCTTCCTTGCTAAGAAGGTCCAATGTCAAGATTAAAGTTGAATCTATATAATATAATCATTGGGAAACCTAATAAAAATTTCAATATCCACCATCCTCAATGAATTACCTTAACAATCTGATCTTGAAAAGATTGACAACACTCTTACCATTCTCAATGAGCTACCCTAACGATCTTACCACAATCCATATTAGCACTTGATTCAACAACAATTGTTTGTTTGTTTCAAATAAGAAAACACTATATAAATACAATACACAAGATATCTAAATGTATACCTGTATGTATTTGCACACAATTTATTTTCTTTTAATAGCCAATTTACATTTCTCTTTTCATTACATATATTCTTTAATATGAATATTATGCTTTTGAATCTTTGTTTTGTATTGCATTTATCAAAACAAAAATCCTTATTTTGTATTGTGTTTCATGTTTATAACCTTTTCTATCTAAATTAAAAATCCATATATACATACTAAAGCTATCTGTAACATTTTATGCATTCAAGGATACAATTAAATTATTTCATATGAATCCTTTATATTTACTTCCATATATATTTGTTTTAATATTAATCCTATATTTTGAATTTTTTAACTTTGTTTTATAGTTAAAACCTTCATTACCTAAATAAAATAATAAAGAAGGGCAGCCTAGTACACGAGGCTCCCTCCAATGCAAGGTCTAGGGAGGAACCGATGTACGCAGCCTTACCCCTACACATAGAGAGAGGAAGATTTGAACCCCGGTCACCCAATTCGCAATGGAGCAACCCAACCATTGCACCAAAGTCCACCCTCACCTAAATAAAATAACTTTTAGTTTGCATATATACAACAAATTGAATTTATTTATAATATTTTTATACATTGTCAAATTCAATTTATTGCTTTTATAGTTAATTTATATATTAACTTTATATTAGATTATATTCTATCTTTATGATATTTTTTGAACTCTATTTTACATTTATAACATTTTCTACCTAAATAAAATAATATCCTTAATTTACATATACTCTAGTACTTTCCACTATAACATAATTTATAAATGATAATGAATGTTTTGTATTGTGGATAAAGAATTAATACCAGAAAAAAAGTTGTTGAGGGGCTTAGTAGGGGTCCGGGCCCAAATGCTATTATTTTATTATATTGATAATTTTATTTTATTTGACAATTGTATTTAATATTTTATTATAGTTGTTCCAACTTCAATAAAGTAAGGAAAAAGAAGTAAAGGATAGAAGAAAGAAAGAGAAGAAGATATGAAGAGAAGGGGAAGGGAAAGAGAAGAATAGGAGAAGACAAGAGGGAAGACAAGAAAGGAGAAATTTGTTCTCTATTCCTTATTGTCGTCAACCTAGGTTGTATTAACATTCTACT